CCTTATCTTTTTTTTTTAATTCTCACCTGAGAACATTTTTTGATATTTTGTTCAGATAGAGTGGGAGACAGAGAGAGAGAGAAAGAGAGAGAATGAGAGAAACATTGATGTGAAAGAAACACATCAAGTGGTTGCCACCCACATGACCCAACCAGGGCCAGGGACAAACTGCAACTGAGGTACGTGCCCCTAGCAGGAACCAAACCCGGTCTCTCCAGACGGCCAATGCTCTAACCGCTGAGCCAAACCGGCCAGGGCCATTCTCCTTATCTTTTAATAAAAACAAAGTGTTACCTTCTCAGAAAGGCCTGTCAGCAGTGAGTCTTGCCTGCCCCTACTCCTCTCCATCTCAGCCCCTTGTGTGTTTCCTCTGTGGAACTGTCACAGTGTCAGTAACATGTGTGTGTTTGCTTATTTGGACATCTTCCCCCTCAGAATGGAACCTCTCTGAGAGCTGGACCACATATGTCTTGTTACCAATGTAATCCCAGATTAGCATCAAGTATTTAATTAATAGGTACTCAACTAGTTATAGAATAAATGAAGGAAAAGTAACAGTGATATCAACACACTGTTGTAGACGATGGGTCACTTTTTTTGTTGACCCCTCCTCTTTCAGTGCATAGCCTTTTTTATTTTCCTTAACCCAATTTAAGTGTGATGCTCCCAGAAGGAAGTCAGGAGCTCACTGTGGGAGCTCTGGGTCCAGCAGTGCTTGCGTGACGTTTTGAAACAATTAAAAATATTGTTGGAGCTTTGTTAGCAAGGTAAGGCCCTTTTTATTATGACCACTGTCATCAGCCTGCTAAGCAGGAGATCTTGGAAATACCACCTTCTTGACTTTCTGAAACAGCAGTTGCCGTCTTTTATAGCTGTCATCTCATCCTTTTCTTCTGCCACAAGATGACTCCAGTCTGTTCCTTCCTCTGCTGTTACCATTTCAGCAAGCTGACCAGTTCTGGACCACTGGTTCCTTGCCATTCCCCTCTGATATTCTTGGTTTAGTCAGTTTGATCTCTTTCTTATGTCGTTTCTCCCACTGCATAGTTGAGGACATTCTCTACACTCTTGTTCCTCGGATCTCAAGACTCTGCTTCTGTCCTTTCTTTTCTTGGTTCTTCCCATTAATTCTTATCTTCTTGATACGACAAACTGCCCTCTATGCCAAACCCAGTTGTCTTTTTCCAGTGTTGCCTGTGCCCAAAGAGCATGCCTCTATATGTGAACAGCCAAGCAGCCATTTACTCCTTCTCCAGGTCTAGATCATCTATTCTGAGCTCTCTGTACTTTTCTTTGTGACCTTTCTCAAGGTTCACCTTGTTCAAGTAGTCAAGGGCTGTGACTGCTCATTCTAGTGCTTGCACAGTGCCATGACATGGATCCAAGTCCAACCTACTGTCCAAGGGCAGATTTTCCCTTTGCTCCTCCTTGAGGCCTTTTGCTAATAAAGTGAGCTTGCCCTTATTAAGTCATAGAACACTTAACACAGGCCTACTATTGGGCTGTTTATTCATTAATCTAACAAATACTTATTGACCACCTGTTTTGTTTCAGATGCTGTTCTAGGTGGTGGTTGGTGAGCAAAACATTGCAATTGTCCATACATTCTAGTGGACACAAGCACATATTCATAGTATGTGCATCGTATAAGTAGTTGCATATATATAAATTAAATGTTATTATACACTGTTATGTAACTTTTATGTAAGTAAATTGTGTCTTGACAACAGGGTTATATGTTTTTCAGAAACTTTTTTTTTAATCTTTGTATACATACCGCTTGGGAGAATGCTTAGTACAGAACAGGTATTCAGTAAGTTCAGTGACTTGATTAAAAATAAAATACAAAAAGAAGAAAGAAGAGAGAGAGAAGTATATTCAAGTGAGATACAATACCCCACATAGTAATGCACTGATACATTGTCTAATTGCAGTCTAGCCCTGCTGTATTAATGGGTGTCTTCCTGCTTTAGGTTTAAGATATGTTAGCTTACTATATCTAATATAAAACAGCTTCATTTAAAGTTCACACTCTAAACAGTGCAGTGTTTATAGACCTAGAGTTCTAATTTCAAGCACTGATAGGTGATATTGATAATATACATACATGATAAGCTATTTACCCTCTCCAGAAGATAACAAATATAAAAAAGATTGAAGCAATCACCATTTGTTCAGGAAAAACACTCCTGTGTGTCTCCTCTGCATCCAGTACTTCAGTTTTGATGCTCCTGGTCACCAAGCAGTTCTCTGATCCTCCAGATACCAGTTAGGTGTGCAGCAGTTTAACTCAGTTCTGACACTGTTTACCTGGAGATTGCATCAGATCCCACAGGTTAAGGGCTCAGTCCCACAAGACTGTCTCGACTTCAGATGCCAGTCACAAAACCAGGTTGTCACTTGTTCTTTCACTTGTTGTTCTGACCTACAGCTATACATTGCAGGTTCTCACAGAACTCAGGAAAAACAGTTTGCTTACTAGCTTACTGACTTATTATAAAAGACTATAACTCAGGGACAGCCGGATGGAAGAGATGCATGGGGCAGGTTCTGTGGGAAGGAGCTCAGAGCTTTCACGTCTTCTCTGGACCTGCTGCTCTCCTAGCATCTCCATATGTATACCAACCTGAAGCTCTTCAAACCCTGTCCTTTTGGCTTTTATTGAGGCTTCATTGCATAGGCATGATTGATTAAATCACTGGCCATTGGTGATTAATTCAACCTCTAATCCCTCTCCCTGTCTAAGGTCGGGGGCTGAAAGTTCCTACCCTCTAATCACATAATTGATTTTCCTGGCAACCAGCCCTCTCCTTATGTTACTTAGGGGCTTTCCAGAAGTCACCTCATTTACATAAACTCAGGTGTGGTTGAAAGGGACTTGCTGTGAGTAACATTGTTCTGTAGGCAGTTGGGAGCCATCCATGGTTTTTGAATGGTTTAATGATGTGATCATAGTCTGGGCAAGTAATTCTTATTTAACTTTGATATCTTTGTTTCCCGTCCTCCTCATATCCATTCTGTAAACAGCCCTGTTGGTTCTACTTACAGAATAAATCCTAGGCTTACCCTCTGCTGATAGTGTCCACTGCCACGAGGCTCACTCAGGCCCTGTCGTTTCTCAACTGGGCTGCCATGGCAGCTTCTATGATGGTTTTTTGCTGCTTTTCCTCTTGCCCTGCCAGCCAGTCCAGTGCAAGTATAAAGCCCTGCATCGTCTTTTCATCACACTTGGAGTAAAATCCAAACTCCTTGCTGAGCCCCAAGGCCTTGTGTAACCCTACTTGACCTGGCCCTGCCCCTCTCTGAACTCACGGTCTACCCTCTCTCCCCCCTCTCTCACTTATTTATCTGAGTTGCAGCTTTCTCATTTGTAAAATGAAGGAATTATTTTGGATAGTCTCCAAGAACACTTTGGCCTCCTTTATATTTTCTAAACACCCAAGCTCCTTCCCACCTCAGAGTCTGTGCATTTGCTTGATTGGTCTGCCTAGAATGTTCTTCCTCCCAGATCTTCACATGGTTAGCTTCTTCCTAAAAGATGACTTCCCTGCTCCAGTCATACCCTCCATAATTTACTGAGACTCATTTTCTTCATAGCACACTTACTCTTGTCTGGATAGGTTTCTTTATTGACTTGTGAGTTTATTACTCGTCCCCCAACCTGCTCAACTAGATATGAGCAGAGTCTTCATTGTGTTCACTGCTGAACTGCCAATACGTGGAAAAGCTCGGACACATAGTACATATTTATTGAATTAATAAATGTAGAGATTATAATGACTGGAACAGGGAGACCAGACTAAAGCCTGCTGCAGTGTACTCAGCATGAGAGAGTGCACCGAGAGTCTTGTCAGAGGAAGAGGGGGCTGGTCGTTGGAAAGGGAAGAGCTAGAGACATTTGAACTTGGATGAGTTATGAGGAACCCAGGATTCTTTTGGACACTCACCCAACCATCTTCATTTCAACCCCATCCTGCACTCCTGCCTTCAGAAGAACTTGAAGCCTACAATTTGTGATTTTGAGGGTTTTATGACAAAACTGCATGGTTTCCTATAGGTGCCCCTTCAACCAAACTCCCCCCCCCCTTCTCCCTGGAAGCTTAGGTTTTAGCTTTCACAGGTCTGCTGTGTGAGCAATTACTTGTCCATTTCCTAAAAGGAGAGTTTTTTTTTCTTGTCTGTCTTTTTCTCTGTCCTTATTAGGCCATGTCTATTTTTCTTTCCCTCAGCTTACTGGGTTTTGAGGAAGGGGTGGAGATAAATGCATGTGTTTAATCTACCAAGTTTAACCAGAAGCTCCTCCCAAATCCAGTTTGGTTGGTTTTATTTTTACTAATTTATTTGATAGTGCTTGGGTTCACATGCTCACTTGCTATGCCAGATATTTGAAGATGTCACTGAGGAGGAGAAATGAGAGGTTCTAAACCATGGTGTTCTTGAAATGCTCACAATGGTTGGCTCAGTATGTGAGATCTCAGAGACCCAGTCATTTCCAACTATTAGACTCTCATGATAGAGATACAGTTCCACATTTATTTGTGCAAATCTTTCGGAGTGTTTTAACATGTTTGTAATAAAATTTATGGTTTATTTAAAATTGAACTTAAGGTACTAAAAGCTTTTGGTGGCATGCCCCTGATAGGAGGGAGAACCTGGAAGGTGATCCCTAAGAGCTGATCAAAGGGAGTTGCTGAGCATTTTTTCTTGTATTTGTGTTTGGTCTTTTAATCTGGTAGTGTTTCCAGTTCCATTCTGAATACAATAATGCACATTCCACCCCCATGCAGGTCATCTTGGCAGCATCTGGTACTGCCTTTGCCAAATGACCCCTGTTCAGGCAGCAGCCTGCCTTTGCTATCAAATCTATACAAGGTAGGAGCAATGGTGATTGCCAGGGAATGGCCTCATGCAAGATCTTATTCATACCACATTTTTGTTCTAGTGATCAAATGAAAATAGTAAAATTAACTGAGAAATGATCACTAGTCATTTCTGCCTAGGTTCGCCTTTCCTGGCCAGTGAAGATGGTGTGCTTGGAGGAGTGATTGTTCTTCGATCTTGCCGATGTTCTGCAGAGCCCGACTCCTCCCAAAGCAAGCAGACACTTCTAGGTAAGCTGGACATAAACATTATGTGTGTCGTTCTCTTTCATTTTTTTTCAATACATGGGAAGATTTATATCGTTAAGTTAGTAAGCTGCGGGAGGCTCAGGATGCCCTGTTGACATGTAACCTTCTCTATTCTACTGATCTTTTTGCATAGATAAACATCAAAGGATGAATGTGTTTAGAGCATATTTTTCAAATGGGCTTAGAACCAAGGACCTTCACTAAAGCTCAGTATTAAGAATATTGAACAATGTATTCATCCCTTGCCTATTCTACAAAACATTTAAGATGACCCATAACAATGTACACAGTAACATAGAGAGCTTCTTCCTGTTCTCCCTCCCAGAAAGCAGTCAGAACCACGTGAAGAACTACTGGCCTAGAAGTCCGTCCTGGCTCTACCACTTGTGAGCTGTGACACCTTCACGCATCAGTCTCACTGTTCTGTGTCACTTCCACATCTGTAACATAAGACGTCTGCCATGTCCTGCTCTTAAAGCTTTGGTGAAGAAGGGCCAAATGAGTTTTTTTCAGATTTGCAGATGTTCATCCAGATGTGTGATTTTGTGTTTAGCCAAGAGCATCAGTGGGGATAAAACCCAGCCTGCTGTCTGCTTGCCATGGCCCAAACTTGTAGGGCTGCCTCTTCCTGTGGGTGCCTTTTCCTAATTCATTCATCTAGAGGGAGTATTTTAAAAATCTGCAAAGGGTGCCACATAAACCGGCCGGCAGTTATTTTTTTTATTGACTTTTAAATTGAAGTGTACATACACTCAGAAAATTGCACAAATCATAGCTATATATAATAATTACATATTACAAAGTGAATTCACCCATGTAAGATAAAAGACAGAACTTTACTACAACCCCAAAAGACCCCTGGAAACCCCTCCAAAGTTAACCACTCAGCCTCTGCCCCCTCCAAAGTTAATCACTCTGCTGACTTCTAGCACCTAGATTCGTTTTTCTTGGTTTTACATTTTATGTAAATGGGATCATAGAATGTGTACTCTTTGTGTCTGATGTGTTCAGTGAACTTTAAACCTGTTAGATTAATCCATGTTATATGTGTTAGCAGTTTATTTATTTCCCTTGCTTGTTATCTCATTATATGGATATACAGTGTGTGTTTACCCACTGTTCTCTAAGTATTTTTATATAAGCAGTATAAGTGATTCACAGGGGCTGTAATAGTTCAACCCTTGGTGTAAATTTCCTTAAAGAAAGTGTGGGTGGTGCCTGATCTATGTTGTATGATTGTTGTGAATTGTTATAGTACAAGTCTCTTCATCCCCTGAGGTTCTCTGAGTATAAAATAGAACACTGAGCATTTCTTCTGAGTGTAAACAGTATTTTTTCTGTAGAAGCCCAAAGAGCTATCATAGAATCTCTTCCCTCATTCCTCAACGGAAAAAAAAAGTACTTTTATATAAAGGGCCTCTGTCTATACCTGGATTCATTTTTTTTGTTGTATTCTCTTTCTCTTCCTACCCATATACTTGGTACTTGCTTCTGGGAAGTGTTTTTTGTTTTTTGTTTTTTTGTTTTTTTTTTAAATGGCCACTTTTTATAAAAATAAAAAAATAAATGGGTACCCTTTGTTAAAATAAGGTACATTAGCCATTTGCTTTTTTGGTATCTTAATTATTGCTGTGAATCCTTTAAATACCTTTCCCAGTTAGATAGCAGAGAGTTTGCTTTTAAAATATGCAGAGAATGCCCGGCCTCTGTGGCTCAGTGGTTGGGCGTCGACCCATGCACCAAGAGGGTTGCCGGTTCGGTTTCTGGTCTGGGCACATGCCCAGGTTGTGGGCCCAATCCCCCAGTTGGGGGCATTCAGGGGGTGGCCATTCGATTTTCTCTCTCATCGATGTTTCTGTCTCTGTCTCCCTCTCCCTCTCTCTCTAAAAATTAATAAAGGGAAAAAATTAAAAAACAAAAACAAAAAACAAACATGCAGTCGATATATCTGGGCCTTCCAAAAGAACTCAGAATAAATCTTAGTACCAGGAGGTGGGAGGACAGTTATTAAACTGCTTCATGAACTGTTCCCAGTACAGAGGGACAGCTCTTTATAAGCCTGGACTCTTGACCATTTGAGTTAATCCTGAAAATTGTAAGGTATTTTTGGTGGCATAGTATAGAAATGCATATTTAAGGATAAGTCATAGAATTTTAGTTTATGTTAAATAGTTTTTATCAGCAAGTTAGTAATTTGTAAATTGATATTTCTGCTCTCTGTTTCAAGAAGAAGAATAAAGTGTAGTGTCAATTTATGAAATAAGTGAAATCTTGCTATTGTTAAAGTGAATTAGAGGGATTGATGTTTGTGAGGTTTATCTACTAAAACCCAGTGAAACCTAGTATAAACTTATAGATGCTACAAACTACATGGATTTTTACATTTTTGCTTTAAGAACGTTATGTATATTCAGTATGTAGTAAGACAACAAACACAGTAAAAATATAGGAAGGGAGACATGAAAGTCACCTTTGCCGTTCCATTCCCAGAGCCCCCAGTCTCTGGTTCTGGTTATTCTTCTGGAAAACACCTTCACTCTATGGAACATATTCATGCTTCTGTTTCTAGGTTAATCAATAATTTATGCTGCTTTTTGGGGAAAATAATTAAAAACAAAGCTCACACTTCATTTCCCTTTCCTCCTGACTTTTGTTAGAATTCTACTCTAACTTGAAATTATATGTTTTGATTTTATTGCTACTTTAACACACTATTTCTTGATTCATCAGCTTTATATAATCTCTATCAACTATCCCTCACCCCTTAGTCTTTGTAAGAGTAGGAAAGTTTTTGCACTCTATCTTTTTTCTCCTTCCCTCACTCCCAACCCTACCTCAATCTCTAGCAATCATACCATTGTTGTCATGGTTATTAACATTTGCATTATGCCTTATAGCTATACTTGTCTCTATTTGTGTCTTTGATTAGAGGCTCATTTCAAATAGTGCCAATTAGTAACCAGCATTGACAGTATCAAGATTGTGTATGTAATATCAAATATGCCCTGGCGAGTTTGGCTCAGTGGTTAGAGTGTTGGCCCATAGACTGAAGGGTCATGGGTTCAATTTCTAGTCAAAGGCACTTACCTGAGCTGCAGGTTTGATCCTTAGCCCTGGTCAGGGTCTTGTGGGAGGCAGCCAATCGATTTGTCTGTCTCACACCAATGTTTCTCTCTCTCTCCTTCCCTTCAATTCTATCTAAAAATCAATGAAGAAATACTCTTGGGTGAGGATTAACAACAACAAAAATTGTGTAAATATTATTCACTGCAGATCCTGGTAGTGAAGGATTGTACCCATAAGGGAGTGTCTGTCATACACTGCTGTCTACAAAAGGAGAATATTTCAAACATAAAGCTTAGATGGATTCTCCTGTGCTGTATCCCGTCATTTGCCCCAAATCAGGCACAATTTCATTTGCTTTATGTTTGGACCATGACTTCTCATTTGTTGCTTTATAAAACTCGTGGCTCTTTAGTACTAGGAACATCTATTAACCAAGACTTCTCATAAGCCTTTCTTTCCTACACATCTAAATGAAACAAAGACTCCAAATTAAAATTAACTGCTATGTATTGTTCAATCACTTGTTTTGTCCCAAGAATAGAATAATCAAAATGATCTCTAACTCCAGCTTTTTCTGTGTCTACTTTCTTTTCTGGAAATCATAAATGGTGTTTACATCACACCACTAAGGCAGTTTCAGTGAAATCCCATTGCCACTTGGTAGAGTATTCAGAAAGACATTACTGAACCACTTCTCTGGACAAATACATCAATTACAAGAGCCCCAGTGGGCCCCTTCATGGGTGGGATGACTCAAATACAGGCGCTTTCAAGATCTATCTTTCCTTTACTGATTCATGAATAGAATTAGAAAATCTCAGTCAGGAGTGAAGGAAGTCGTCTTGTGTGACCTTGTTACATGTGCTTTGCCCATGAATTGTTTGTAAGAGATGAGGTCTAATTCCTCATCCCCTGAGATTCCCTTCCAATGTATAAAAATATGGCAAAGTGACAGTGTGTGACTTCTGAGACAAGGTCCAAAAAGGCATTGTGGCTTCCTCCTTGCTCTTGCTGTTGGATCACTCACTCTGGGAAACGCCAACAGCCATGTTGTGAGGACACTTAAAGCAGTATGTGGCAATAAGTGTGAACTTCCAACAGCCAGTAAGGCATGGAGGCTTCCTGCCACAACTTCAACTCTGAGTGAGCTTTCAGATGACTGCAGCCCTGGGCAGATTTCTTGATTGAAATCTCTTGAGAAACCCTGAGCAAGTACCACTCGACAAAGCCACAGAGATGCTAAATATTTGTTGTTTTAAACTGCTACATTGTGTGGTAATTTATGCAGCAATAGATAACTAGTAGACCTTTGGAATCCCCTCACTGCCAAATGCCTCCTAGTCTAACAGTGTCCAGTGACAAATCAAGGTGCTCTGGTGCATCCCTAGGCAGCTCAGATGGTCAGACTTCAGTTTCAGCACTGGATCCTGATTCTCTTCTTTGGATCCTCTGGAACAAATGAGATCAGTTCCCTTCACTTTGCAGGCTCGAATCACTCTTTTCCACACTATCTCCTTCCCACCTCTACTCATCTCCCACCTCCATACTGCCACGAGACTTGTCTCTATGTAGAGAATCTAACTGTGGTCTGAAAAACAGGAGAAGTCGGGAGAGAAACAGACTGTCCTGAAGCAGAAAGGGACATAAGGAGAACCTTACCCAACTGTGACTTAGAGAGCTACACCAATCCCAGGATCAGAAGGATGATAGTGGTTAAAACAAAAGTCATTTAAGTATATGTAATTAGTTTGTCTGTATGTCTAAGTGAATGCTAGATAACTTTCCATAAAGTAAAATATGTATTCCTTATCACTTCCATGCTCTCTACTTTTAATTCTTCAGTGAACATGCACACACACACACACACACACACACACACAGAGTCCTACCTCTATTGCTCATTTCCCTGCAAGGTA